CCCAGCACTCAGGAGGCTGAGGCACACGGATCACTGCAAGTTTGAGGCCAGCCTAGGCTGCATAATAAGTTCAAGGCTAGTCTGAACTACATAGCATGACCCCGTCTCAAAAAACCCAAAATAGGGCCGGGGATTTAGCTCAGTGGTTTCACCACCTGCTGCGCAAGTGCAAGGACCTGAGTTCGATCCCCGGTACCCCCCAAAAAAAACCAAAACCCCAAACAAAAAAAACAACAAATACACTTGTAAATGCAACCCACTTATTACAAGGTCTGCCTGTAGTAAATTAAGTTCCAGAAAAGAGAATAGTTGTTTCCATCTATGTCACTATTTTAAGAGTTAAAAATAAATCTCAGGCTGGGGATTTAGCTCAGTGGTTCCACCGCCAAAGCACAAGGACCCGAGTTCGATCCCCGATACCAAAAAAAAAAAACTCATCCTATATTTCCTCTCTATAATTATGAATAGGCAAATGCATCCAGCTGCTATGCCCAACAAGCCATTATGTAGCTACAGGCTATGGGCCCTGAATCATACTGGGTGGTGCTAAGTATTTTCTTATGTGTAAAAGGGGTTTGGATCAATCTCCTAAAAATGATCTCCTTCAACCATGAAGTTATACTTCTCCATGTGAGAATTCTAGAAGCTAGTCAGCATGCTATTCTTCCTAATTAACTCACGTATCCTTTTGATTTTCTTGTCTCTTAAACGTTTTAACTTCCATTTTGAGGATCACAATGTGCTAGCCTAGAAATAATCACGTTCCTGGAATTCTAATACCATTTAGAGGGAGAGGAGATCTAAAGAACTCAATCCAGATAATGTTCTATGCCAACAATGAAGACATCTGCACAGGCTGGGGGGAGTAGTTCATTAATAGTACACTTGCCCAGCAAACACAAGGCCCTCAGTTTGCTTCTTAGCACCACCGAGGGAAAAAAAAAAAAAAAAAAAACCCAAAAAAACCAAACAGACATATACACAAAAGAGAATTTGTTCTCAAGAACTGATTTCTTTCCAAGATACCTTTTCAATTCCTCCAAATTACAGAAGGTAAAGTGCTTCTATTTAGCACTAAGCTCTTGTTAACACCATGTAGTTAGTGACAGGACGAAGCTTGTACTTCCCCTCTATGGGGCAGGTGTATCCCTTGATTGGGGGGTGAGAAGTGGGTATGGGCCTTCAGCAGGAGGAAGGCAGCTCATGACAGATTGGAGAGAACATTCCAGGCACCCTGAAAGAAGGAATCCTGAATGGACAAACTCAAGGAGAACTAGAATTAACCTTCCTCCTATGAATTTCAACCTAACAGTATTTTCTCCCATTCCAGAATTGCTCACACTTTCTCCTTACCTGGAATCCGCTCTGTTTTGTTCTGCCAGACATGTTCTCATCTTGGTTCTTTTTCCTTTCACCTGAAACCTCTTTTTTTTTTTTTTTTAACCTGAACCTACTGATCTTCCTCTGTTACTTTCTCTACCTGTCCAAGAGCTAAGCACCTACACACCTCACATACTTAAATGTTGGCCAGGCGTGGTAGTGCACACCTGTAATCTCAGCACTTCGGAGGCCAGGACAGGAAGATCGCCGGGAGTTCGAGGCCAGCCTGGGCTACATAGCAAGACCCTACCTCAAAAAATTAAAAACAAAACCAAAACCAAAAACAAAATAAAATAAATGTCACTTCCTTTAATTGGGTGAAAATGGTATTCATCTGTCTTGTACAACTGCTTCTTAGCCAGAACAAATGTAATACCTAATCAGAACATGCAAAACAACAAAAGCAAACTTTCATTTAAAAATAAATAGTAGGCCGGGGATTTAGCTCAGTGGTTCCACCGCCTGCCTCGCAAGCAAAAGGACCCGAGTTTGATCCCAGGTACACCTAAATAAATAAATAAATAAATAGTAGTTCAATCCCCGGAATCAAAAAATAATAATAATAATTTTTAAAAATAAATAAATAAATAGTAATTCTGCCTCCTGCCTCGAAAGCACAAGGTCCCGAGTTTGATCCCCAGTACCAATAAATAAATAAATAGTAACTTAAATTTACTTTATAAAGAGATAATGGGGGAATGGATATAAGCAAAATCTATTATATACACTGAACACCCACAAAAAACTGTGAAACTAGGCAGAGGGCAGGGTAAACTTGAGTGACAGGAAAAGAAAATGATCAAAGATTATTATTGTATGTATAAATTTTCTAAAATAAAACCCATTAATCTGTTAAAAGGTGAAAAAAAAAAAGTAAAATAAAATCCTTTCTATGCAGCCCTCAGTAAAAAGCCTTGAATCCTTAAATATTTCATTAATTTCCATATGAAAGTGGATTTTCAAACAATAAAGAAAAGCAGAAATCTCTATTTTCTATTTCCCAACCACGCCCGCTGAACATTTTTGTGAATTACTCCTAAATTTTCCCATTTAACCTCCTTGGGAAATATAAACCCATAACCACCACGCACTTCTCTCTCTCCACATACATTTATATTCACTCTCTCTACACACTACTCTATTCCCAAGAAAGCTCTTTAAAGGTACAGGGGAAAATTGAGTGCCCCGGGATACACAATGGGGCTACTGTACTAAAAGGTAGAGCTTTTCATGGGAGGAGGAGAGGTAGCATTATAAATAGAACTGAAGAGGGGAACCTTTTCTCCATTGGATCTCTCTAATCTTTATTCCTGACCTTGGATCCACTGTAATTCCAGACTGTGGGGCTCCTCCAAATTAGAGGAAACACGACTGGGCCTATCCAAGAAGGCAAATCGGGCCTTGTACTAGTGAGGAAAGAGGAGCCCGAGAAGCACACAAGAAGCAGCCTAGCACCCCAGAAGCGGTGGCAGAACTGGAGAGAGGAAGCCCTAGCTAACAGTGAAGAGCAGGCCATCTGTCAGTGATTCACCCAGAACACTTTTTAGGGGTGGCAACAGCCACACTGGGTGACTGCCAGGAATCCTGGTCTGCTTTTTCTGCCATAAATTTATTCCAAGGTTCCTCAGTCCTCTCTGATTGTAAAATCTAGGTGCTTCCAAAATTGATTTTCTTAACAAAATTTTAAACAAAAGGAAAAGACACCAAGAAAACATGCTGGGTATGGTGACACACTCCTGTAATCCCAGCACTGGAGAGCCTGAAGCAGGGAGTTCAAGGCCTGCTTGCACCACATAATGAACTGAAAACCAGCCCAAACTTACATAGCAAGACCCTGTCTCAAAAAAACAACAACAAAAAACACCACATCCAGATTTTCTACGATTACCTCCCTAAAGTAAGCCAGACACATTCCAACAAAGGACAGAGTATATAAAGGCAGTATGCAACTATTATGCTCTCCCTTCTCACCTAGGCATAAAAAATAAAGACTATCACAAATCTAATGTCACTTACCATGAAAAAGCACCCAACTAAACACCCAGGGGGTAATGGCACCTAGGATGGGTTTTAAAGAAAATGGGCTACTTTTCTATACTGGAAAAAATACCAGACAGAAAAGACTATGCTCTGGAGTAGATCCAAATGAAATGACTCTCCAGTGCAGCACTTGAGGAAGGGAATATGATGAAAAATATCATTTTATTCAGGCTATCATATCCCAGCATAAGGCAAAGTCTTACAAATGTTTCTATTTTTCAATGGGGATAGGGAACCATCAGACACAATGAGGGATATAGTTCAGTAGTAGAGCACATGGTTAGCATGCATGAGGTCCTGGGCTCACTCCCCAGCACCACCAAAAATAATAAACTTCCACTTAGAAAGGTAAGTGTTACCATCACTAATCCCCATCGATATCATCACTAACACTCCTACCCTCATTTCTTCGAAGGGGTTTAAGCTCAGAAAAGCAGCCTACATTGAAGAAGCCACACCAAAATGCATGTTCCCAAGGGAGGAAGAATGGGGATGGGGGGGCACAAAGGAGACTCCAACTGGGGCTGTTATTTTTTTTTTAGAGGAAAAAGGAAGATCTGAAAGGTTAACATGCGTTAGTTCTGAAATACAAGAATGTTTGTTGTATTTTTCTCTGGACTTTCTTGTAGCAATTTTAAGATTTTCAGAACTATTAAAACAAAAAACAAAACAAAAATACCACTTTTGTTTACTAGCTTCAGTTAAAACACTGATTTTTGTGCTCGCTTCGGCAGCACATATACTAAAAACACTGATTTTCAGAGCTGGGGATGTAGCTCAGTGGCAACATGCCTGCCTGCCAAGGGCAAGGTCCTGAGTTTGATCCCCAGTACCAAAAAGAAAAACAAAAACAAAAAACATTGATTTTCATTAAACTTTAATGAGAAACACCTTTCATTATTCCTCACCAGCCTTTTCCACCAGCACTCACTTATGGAATACATGATCTATAATTACATCTATCCACCCTGGGACCTTGCAAAGAAACATAAGCACAAGAACAAAAGAAATAAATTACTGATAGCAAGTGGACACCCTGAAATTAAGACCACACCACAAGGTCTTGGGGCATCTGAAAAAGGAAAATAGCAGTTATAGATTTACTTTGCAAAGCATCTAGAGGATGCTACCTTTGATAAACAGTCTGAATTTCTCCCAAATGGATGAACCAATTCCCACAGCCCTACTGTGTAAGCCTTCCAACCTAGTACTCAACCCACAAGTCATCAGCAAAGAGATTCAATTCATATATAAATTAAAACCAGTAAGAATTAGTATAACTTTAATATCAGGAACTCCAGGCCCTAAAAATGCTATTTTTCCCAGACAGGGGCCAGTACCCAAAACAAGTTCTGTAAGCATAAAATTGAGTACCACAAATCCGAAAAACATTCAGTATACACAGATGCTCATCACACTACCATCAGTGTTACTTACTCTCGTAAATACACTACCCATACTTACCCCCTCACCCACCAACACCCCCGGGTCCACCTACAACATACAGAGAAATCTTTATCTGTGTTCACACCATATCAAATCCCTTCTTCCAATCTTCTCTCTAGCCAGCCCATATTTACCTCTTTGCTTCTTCTAAATGACAAAGGTACTCATAAGCCACATTCTGTCGTCTCCTTTCATCCATCTCCTCTGCAGTGAGTCTCTCATTATCCAGGACAGCTAAAACATGAAAGAAAGAATGTAAATATGAAGATCTGTAACTTTCCTTCCTCAGCAATAAAAGAATGGCACAGCCATCAAATTCCTGCTAGTCACCTAGAAGTCAAGGTAACAAGGTCAAAGTAACTGGTGGATGTGTGGATAGTCAAGTGCACCAAAATCATTTTCCTTTAAAAAACAAAAATGGGCAGGGGATTTAGCTCAGTGGTTCGACACCTGCCTCGAAAGGGCAAGGACCTGAGTTCGACCCCTGGTACCAAAAATAGAAATAATAAAAAACAAAAACAAAAAACCTATGGGGTTTCAACTATACTCATCTTGCCCTTTTTAGAAGTGTATGGTAATATGAACATTAATTTTAGTGTAATCGTGAAAAATACTGTCATAAGATTTTGGCTGAAATGTGTCCTAATCTGTGAAAACTTTTTCTTTTCAGGATTTGTTTTGTTTTGTTTTTGAGACAGGGTCTTGCTATGTAGTTTAGGCTGGCTTAAACTGGCTATGTGGCCCGGGCTGGCCCCTAACTCACAGCAATCTTCCTGCCTCAGCCTTCCAAGAGCTAGGATTACAGGTATGTGCCACCATGCTTGGCCCATCAGAACTTTTTCTAAAGATTTCATCATATTTTTCCTTATTTTATTAATAACCAAAGCCAGCAGTTATTGAGGACTGAGTGGTAATAACTGTGCTAAGCACTCTGCATGCATTCTCTCACTAAAACCCACAACAATCCTATGATCATCATTCCTATTTTATTTATTTATTTATTTATTTATTTATTTATTTTGGTACCAGGGATCGAACTCGGGTCCTTGCCCTTGTGTGGCAGGCAGGGAAACCACAGAGCTAAATCCCCAGCCTATCATTCCTATTCTAAAGATGAGGGAACTGAGGCTGGATAAACTCAGCCCCACAGGCAATCAAGAGGCAGGCCTGGATTCCAAGTCAGAAAACATCTCAAGGCCTTTGGGCTTAACCATAAAGCAATCTGCCTCCTTCCCAAGCACCCAAGGTATGGAGTACAGTAAATTCCTAACTTCTTGGGAAGGGAGTCAAGGCCTCTCCCAGTTTGGCCTCAAAGATTTTTGGAAACTTCTCCCCTTCTCCATTGCTTTCCTACCACTACTGTGCATACCACAGTGCTCAGATTCTAACACAGTGTCCTTGTCCTCTTCCCTATCTTAGCACAACCTCTTCTTTCAAGTCATGCCTCTAGTCCCACCCTGCTGGGTCAGACTTCTCTGGACAGCTTCATTCAAGGCTCTACTCAAATGCCACACCCCGGTTCACTCGCCTTCCCCAGACCCTCTCCTGGCTCACATTACTCTGTATGCCCAGCTAGTTCTCAAGTCTTTCACCTTTACTGCACCTTACCATCATTAGCTCCTACACCTGTCTGTGTCTCTGACTAAAACATTCTTTCAAGGGAAGCCCTGGGCTTACTCATCCCTAATTTCACAAACGTGGCACAGTACCTCACGTATAACTGTTGAGGAGTGAGATTACCCTTTAAAAAAAGAACAATATTCCCAGATATAAACTAAAATCAAAACCCTAAATACCCTCAAAGGACCCTCGTGTGGTCAGTGGTAACCATCGATCGCCTGCAGTTCACTGATGTCCCAGGGTCGGTCATAGAAAATGAGGAAGTCAAAGGTTTTTGGTGGGCTTTATTTTATTTTATTTTTTTAAATTTTGAAATCCTGACAAAGGAAATGACCGAGAAAATGAAGTGACGTGCCCAGGGCCACACCTCGAAGGTAGCCCGGAGCCGGGCGTCTCGGAAGCCCAGAGGGCCCGCCGCGGTCCCGGACACGCCCGGCACCGTCCGCCACCTCAACCCGGCCGCCCCCAATCTCCACCCACCTCGCAGCGGGAGCGCCAGGCCAGGGCGGGGTCCCCGGATCCTACCAGCAGCCTCTGGCCCCGCGGGGGCGCGAGCTGGGTCCGCGGCCCCCACCCGCCCGGCCGGCTCTTCCGGGTCCTCAAGGCCGCGGTCATCCAAGCCCCGAGCCGCCCGCCCACCGCCGAGCCCCCCGGAAGCCGCGCCTCGGCCGCGAAGCCTCGCGCTACGGAGCCCCGCACTCACAGCCATAGTGCGGCCGGGCCGCAACCTCGTCTACGGCGGACATGGCGGCCGAGCCCGGGTCTCTGCTGAGGAAGCGGTGAGACCTTGAGGAATCGGATGGCGGCAGCTGTAGATCCAGCCGAGTGCGCGGGCTGGCGGGGTCCCCGAGGTCCCGCCCTGCGGCCCCTCCCTGGAAGCCCCGCCCAGCCTTGGTGCCCCTGCGGGAGGGAGGTGGAGCCAGAAACGTTCTGCTCCGCCCCTGTTCCCGCCCCGAAGTCCTGATGAGCGGAAGTGGGCGGGGACAGAGCTGCATGGCCCCGCCCCGTCGCTCCGGCCCCGCCCAGCGGCCCGGGGGTGAGCGGCAGGCGGAAGGAAGGAGGGGAACCCGCCCTCCCCGGCCGCCGCCCAACGACTCAGCGGGATAAGCAGTCTGTGCTGGCGACTTGAAATCAAAACCGCAGGTCTCCTTCCTTCCCCTGCCAGCTAAGTTAACCTCCTCAGCACCGAGACTCCTCGAAGGCGTCCTCTCTGGATGCCAGGGTGTTCTAGTTGGGCACGAGCTGGACCCAAACTAGTCAAGGACTTCCGTCCTCGGTCTGAGCAGTCTGTTGGTGTGGCCTCAGTACTGGCCCAAATTTTCGAGCAGTCGCCATAGTAGAACAGTCTCTCAAGTATCGAGATGCCGATGCTAACAGAACTGTATTTATCTAAACTTCCCTGTTTCATATTCCATTTGCCAGTTCTTTTTTAAGGAGTTTTTTGCCCCTATTAAGGATACCGCTTCCCCAGCACTTTGTGGCCTGCCCTGAAAATATCAGTGTTCTGTAAGATTCTGTCCTCAGCACCCCCCCCCCATTCTCAGGACTTTTGGGCCCCCTTTAAACTATTAGTGACTTCTGAATATCTATCACCAAACCAGACCATCTGGGAACCCATCGGTATTTTCAGCTGTCTAGTGAGCGCTTTCACCTGTGCATCCTGCAGACACTTCAAATCCCACGTGTCCAAATCATGCTATATTCTCTCGATAGAAGTAGCCAATTCACAGTGCAACACCCTGGGCTTACACCCTGCATCTAATATCTGTTCTCTCTGGAGTATCTACCTCTGTATCTGTCTACCCCACACACCCCAGTGATTTACACTATTTATGTTGCCATCACCTCCATTCTCTCTTTTACCAACCAGATCCTTCCAGTTGCCAAGGTATTCTTTCCAAAAAACACAAATGCGGGCCGGGGATTTAGCTCAATGGTGCTACCGCCTGCCTCGCAATTGGAAGGTCCTGAGTTCGATCCCTGGTACCAAAAAAACCCCCCACATAAATGCAACGTGTTCCTCTTTCATATATTTCTATTTCTAAGTAAAAGGTGAAATTTCTTATTTTCAGTTTTTATTTTTTATTAGTACATGTTTGCATTACATAATATTAGATTTTTTTTTTCTGGGAGTACATGCGCAATATGCATCTTCATTCTTGTTTCATCCCCTTTCCCTCCCCTCCTCTCCTCCACCTCTTGATGCCCTTCACATTTGAACAAAATCTACCTCCCTATTTTCTATTATCTTTTTTTATTTTGCTCTCTATTTATAGTTTGGATTTCTCATACAAGAGAAACCCTGCGGTGTTTAAGCTTGTGTTATTTCACTTAACATTATGGTCTCCAGCTGCATCCATTTTCCTGCAGATCACTCAAGTTTAAAGATGGCCAATAAATACATGAAAAAATGTTCAATATTGCTGGCCATCAGAGAGACTCAAATAAAAACAACATTGAGATTCCATCTTGCCCCAGAAAGAATGGCTATCATCAAGACATCGAATAACACCAAATGCTGGTGGGGCTTTGGAGGGCAGGGGGCTTCTGCACTGTTGGTGGGAGTGTACAACCACAGTGGAGATCTATGTAGAGATTTCCCAAAATCTCAAACTAAAAATTCAATTTGAGCCAGCTATTCTCCCAGGTGTCTTCCTGAAAGAGTTAAAGACGTCATATTATATCATATGTATCCAGATACATGCATACCTATGTTTACAGCACCACAAGGCATAATAGCTAAATCATGGGAGCAGCCTATATGTCCATCAACAGATGAACGGATATGGAAATGTGGTGTTTGTGCACAATGGAGTATACAACTACTCTGCTATATACATGTATTTCATACATATAGATTTCTTCTCCCCATTACTACTCCCTTCATGATAGGATCCAAGTTCTTAGCATGCCAAATAAATCCCTTTGCAACCCAACTCCAGACTGTTTGTTTCAGCCATTTTTGATTTATTCATTTTTCCTTCAATTTTTGTTTCTGCTGGTGCTGAGTATCCAAACTGCAACTTGACACGTTAAGCTACATCCCCAGCCCAAAACTATTGAAATAAGGTATTTACTGTACTTTCAAATAAGATTTTATTTTTCTTGAGACAATCTCATTATGTAAGCCAGGCTGGCATTGAATTCATGCGAATCCTCCTGCCTCAGCCTCCTGAGTACTGGGATTATAGGCATGCACCACCACATCCAGCTCAAATAAGTTATTTGAAAAGCTATAAATGAAATACCACAGTAGAAAAAGGGGCAAAGGTTTAATTTATTATAGCTATAAATTTTATTTTTTGTTTTTGTTTCTTAGTTTTTTTCTCTTAAACTTTATTTTGCTGTTGTTGTGACAAGACCCTCTGTATTATCCAGGCTGGCCTCAAACTTTCATCCTCCTGCCCCAGCCTCCTGAATAGCTGGGATTACAGGTGCAGATCACAACTCCTGGAACCTTTTTTTTTTGGTACTGAAGATTGAACTCAAGACCTTCACACTAGGCTACATCCCCAACCTTTTGTCTGTTTGTTTTGTTTTGTTTTGTTTGAGACAGGGTCTCAGTAAATTGCTAAATTGCAATCCCAGGTATTCTGGAGACTGAGGCAGGAGGATGGTAAATTCTAGGTCAGCCTGGGTAACCTGCCTCAAAAGAGCCAGACGTGGTGCATGTGTATAATCCTAGAATCTGAAGGCAGTTGGTTGCAAGTTTGAGCCCAGCTTGGGTGATTTAGTGAGACCCTGTATCAAAATTTAAAAATAAAAAGGGCTGGGATGTAGTTCAATCCCTCGTACTGTCAAAAAAAGAGGGAGAAATGGGCTGGGGATTTAGCTCAGTGGCATCGTGCCTACTTCACAAGTGCAAGGTTCTGAGATCCTGAGTTTGATCCCCAGTACCACAAAGAGAGAGAGAGAGAGAGAGAGAGAGAGAGAGAGAGAGAGAGAGAAGTATGGTGGCTATTGCAGATGATCCCCAATTTAGGATGATGCAATTTATATTTCAATTATATAGTGGTACAAAATAATAAATAATACGCATTCAGTAGAAACTGTATTTGGATTCTGAATTTTAGTCTTTCTTCAGACTAGCAATAGTCAACCTTTGCCCAGTGTTAGAATGGTTGGCTAATATAAGGGTCCTGAGCTGGTTAGGTTGAATGAGGATAAGCTACGAAGTTCAGTAGGTTAAATGTAGTAAATACATTTTCAGTTGACTACATTTTCAATTTATGATGGTTTGGGTTTTTTCCGGTACTGGGAATCAAACTCAGGACCTTGTGCTTGCCAGGCAGGCATGGTGCCGCTGAGCTACATCTCTGGCTATCTGGATTATGATGGGTTTTTTTGAGACATAACCACATTATAAGTGTGGAACATCTATGTTTCCTTCAATAGGAGGCTGGGTAGACAATGGATTGGGATTTCTAATATAGTGGTTAAATGAAAGTAACAAATTCTATATTAATAAACATTATGATACTATTTTTACTTTAAAAGTAGAGGGGTAGCTGGATAGGGATGTGCGTGTGGATGAAAAAAAAGAACGGTATATACCAGCATGTTAACGGTGGTCTCTCCAGGTAATTACTGTATTTGTGTGGGGTTGATATGTTCACTTCTCCATATTTACCAAGTTTTCTACAGTGAGCTAATAGAAATACTACTTTAGCTGGGCATGGTGGTGCATGCATGTAATCCCAGCACTTGGGAAGCTGAAGCAAGAGGATTCCACCACTGTGAATTCAAGGCCATCTTGGACTACATGGCGAGACCTTCTCTCAAAAAAGCCAGGGCTGGGGATTTAGCTTAGTGGTTTCACCGCCTGCTGCACAAGCACGAGGACCCAAGTTCAATCCTCAATACCAAAAACAAGAAAAGCCAAAAAGGGGGGAAGGGCAGGGATGTAGTTCAGTGGCACCCTGCCTACCTGGCAAGCACAAGGTCTTGAGTTCGATCCCTATTACCCAAGGGGGGAAAAAAAAGGAAAGAAGAAAACAAATATTATTTTGAGGGGAGAAAAGTAAAAAGAATTAAGATGTGTTATGTATGTATACCAACTCCTCATGATGAATGTAAGTAACCACTGTGTACTGCAAACATGAATTGATAAAAAACATTTTTTTAAAGGAGGAAAGGTTTATTTGCAGAGATTTCAGTCCATAATTGGCTGGCTCCACCGCAGGTTGGCACATGGTAGAGGGGCAACAGTTTATGGGAGCAAAACACAGCAAAGGCAACAAGGGACAACCACAGCTCTTTCTATCCCTTATGTCTTATCCAGGCTATTTAGGGTGGGTAGCACTCACACCCTTAATGCTAGAGCCCTTAAGCCTAGCCTTGCACCATGAATCAATCACATACTCTAGATTCAGTCATCTCAGAAAAAACCCCACCTATGACTGCATGAGGCTTTGGGGGACATCTAAACACAAGTCATAACATTCTGCCCCTGGCCCCCAAAGACTAATGCACATCTCTTTATGCAAAAGGCATTTAGTCCATCTCTAAGAGTTGCCAAAGTCCTAACAGTTTCAACACTGATGAAAAGTCCAAGTCTCTGAGATTTAAGGCTGCAAGCCCCTGTACAAATGAAAAGAAAATTAAATACTTCCAACACTCAATGGCACAAGATAGACACTTCCATTCCAAAAGTTACAAATAGAGGATACAAAGGAATGGGACCAAAGCAAGACTAAACTCCAGCAGGGCAAACATTAAATCCCACAGTTCCACTTCCAGCATCCCCAGAAATCTGTGCTAAGTTGTGAACTCCAAAGGGCTTCGATGGCTCCATCCCTATGGCATCTCTGGTGGTGGTAGCTCCCGTGGCTTCTCTCTGGGGCCAGCTCTGCTCCCTCCTTACAGTTTTCCTCTGACACTCCA